AAAAAAAAAAAAAAAAGACTTTTACAGACTCTCCTGTCCTGGCTGGCTTGGAGCCACAATCCTAAAATATCAGGATTACAGGCATGAGCCACCAGCACCCAGCCATCCTTGTATTTTTTTTTTTATTTTTAAACACAAAAAAATACCACGGACCTATCTCATATCCACTTGCCGTGCCCTGGAATCAGATACTTTTACAAGAAGCTATTTACCTTTGTTGTTTTAGGGTATAGAGGAGAAAGCAGTATTTAGAAAACAAGTTTTACTTATTGGGTCAGCTGGTTGCTATTGGGTTATCTCATCATCTTGGTCTGTAGACATTTTACTCTCTTAATGACAGTGATACCTAGGTGAGTAAATCACCTTCCTAAGGATCACAGAAAACACTGAGTTTAGGAAACTTTTAAGAAGCATTTGGTGGGTTGGGGATGTAGCTCAGTGATGGCTCGTGAATTCCTGGTGCCTATCCCCAGCACCAAAAAGAAAAGGGAAGGAAAGGAAATTAAGGAAGGACGGACTTGGGAAATTGTGGGTTTTACAAAGCAAGCATATAAAAGGTACTGTGGTACCCAAAAGACTCAAGCCTGTGGATTTCTAGTCATGCTTCTTTAAAAAATCTTATATAAGAAGAAAATTAAAAGCAAAGTCTAATATACCATACAGCCTTGCCTTGGTAGCCAAGCCCAGTGGTGAAAACCTGTGTGCTTGTAAGAAGGGGTGGAGGGAGGGAGGGAGGGAGGGAGGGAGAGAAGGAGGAGGTGTAACTTGGATGACTACCTCAGTTAAATAATAGTAATGGAAAATATGAACTGCTATAACTTAATGGACAATAAAGGCTTTACATCTAAAACCTGAATGCAGGAGCCAGTGGCTCACGCCTGTAATCCTAACTGCTGAGGAGGCTGAGATCTGGGGATTGTGGTTCAAAGTCAGTTCAAGCATGAAAATCCCTAGGATTTTTCAATTAACCATCAAAAATTTGGAAGTGGAGCTGTGGCTCAAGTAGTAGAGTGCTAGCCTTGAGCAAAAAAACTCAGGGACAGTGCTCAGGCCTTGAGTTCAAGCTCCAGG